GGGAAATCTGAATATATTGTGTTAAAAAGTGTGTGTGTGTGTGTGTGTGTGTGTGCGTGTGTGTGTGTGTGTGAGAGAGAGAGAGAGAGAGAGAGAGAGACAGAGACAGAGAGAGAGAGAAGTGTCAATCACTCAACTTCCTACCACATCAACTCTCAACTCTTTGGCCAGGCTTCTGTAATGCCTTCTACAATGTGGCATCACGGCATATCTTTCAGCAGACCCATCAGATTGCCCCTTCTCCTCCCAAGTACAAGCTGATCCCTCATTACTTAGGTCTCCAAACTGTGCTGCAAACATCCTGAGCTCAATCCCTGCCTCCATCCCACTGAGATAAGCACCACTATAAACAGTGGTCACTCTAACGAGGCCAGCTCAAGCGTCACTTCCTTCATGAGATCATTCTTCCCTCTCTCTCTCTCTCTCCCCCCTGACCTTCCACTGTCCCTGCAGCTGGTAGCATCTGGGTTAGCATGTCAATGTTGTCTACTATGACTCATATCCTGATGTGGAAGTGACCCTGGTGATTCAAAGGGGGCACCAGTGAGGTCCATACTCTAGCAGGATGGGAGGGATGGGGATGGATGGTCTGTTTCCTGGGGAAGGTCCAGCCTGGCCAAGTCTGAGATGGAATGGCCCCACAAGGCTGGAGGCCTGGGCAGCTGGCTCATGAATGTTATTAGCTAACCAGCCTCAGGAAGACCCTGAGCTTACTCTGACATGAAGAGGGAGTAACAGAGGGCTACCTGAACGGATGAATGCAGAGATCTCTGGATCCGTGAAGTTCAATCCTCTTTTTCATAGGCTTCATTCCTCTTAGTCTCCCCAACCAGACCCTGAAGGTACTGGTAGAGGGACAATGTCTCACTCAGCTTGTATCTCCCTGACCATGCACAGTAGTGAACACTCAGTCAGTACTTAATAAAATACCTGCTACTTAAAGGAAGGGAAACCTATATTATAAGCCCCCACCCCCAAAAAAAAGACAAACACTATCTATCTCTGCCATGTCCATTATTACAATTTTGCAAAAGAAATTACTGACTGGTGATTGCATTTGGGGAGGGGGGTGAAGCAATCGGGGTTAAGTGACTTGGCTAGGGTCACACGGCTAGTAAATGTCAAGTGTCTGAGGCCCGAGTTGAACTCAGGTCCTCCTGTCTCCAGGGCAAGTGCTCTATCCACTGTGCCACCTCGCTGCCCCTGACGATTGCATTTAACGACTGCTCTGCCAATCTCATCAGGCTACACAAATACACAACCATCCTGTTCTGGGAATACTGAGCGTGGCTAGAGGGAGAAGGGCAGATGTGGGAAAGGCCGATTTAATAAACACCACTGGCAGATGACATTGACGTGGAACTGGGTGCAAAAGCCCTAGACCAGCAAGCCCCTTCTGGCCCCAGATCCCAATCCCTTGGCCCATGCTTGGGGAAGACAAAAGATGCTTCACTGGCTGCAACTTTGATGCAGGAGCACAAAACTCCCGGGAGGCTTACATTTATTATATACATCTTAAACCACTGGAGAACACAGTGTTAACCTTGAAGGAACTGGGGTGAAGAAACGAGGAATATTCAGAATGGAGAAGAAAAAAGGGAGACCAGAGAGCTGTTTGAAAGGCCTGAAGCAGTAGGAGGGAGGCTAAGCTTTCACTTGGCCCCAAAATGCAAGCAAAGGGGACGTGTTACTGGTCAGCATATTTCAAATGGTGGATTCTAAGTGGAAAACGACCTGAATTAGGCTGGGAATCTGATAACTGTATCTCAACATAACTGCTTTCCTTTGTAATACCATGGATTTTATTTTATGCATTTAAAATACGATTCTGAGAAGGGGTCCATGGACTTCACCAGACTGACTGCCAACAGGTCCAGGCCACACACAAAACGGTGAAGAGTCCCTGCTTTAAATCACGCCCATCTGCCCTTCTGCCCTGGTCACCGAAGCACGTCTTGGCTGAAACCAGTATCTTTGGGTGTGGCTTCGTGGCTCTAAACTCACAGGTTACCACACTGGCCAATCAATTGGTGATCAAGGGTTGTTTTAATAATTACTGCTTTTTTGTATCAAATTAATTATTAATAATTACTTATAATTAATATATAACAATTAATTATTAATTAATAATTGCTGGTTTTGAGCATCAAATAGTTTTAATAATTACTGCTTTACTGTAAAATTTCAGTCTCCCTTTCTCCTTATTCTTTTTTATAATCATCCTTGAAATTCTTGACTATGTTTCTCTACATATAAATCGTTTTTATTTATTATCAAATGAGCTAATATTTGCAAAGTACATGGAAAGTGCTATGCCTGGCACACAGTAGGCACTTAATAAACGCTTTCTTGTTCCCTTCCCTGACCTTCCCATTTTGTCCACTTTTATAACCTGGCATTAGTATTTTGATTAATGTTGCATTCGGCCTAAAAATTAATCTAGGTGGCACTGCCTTCTTTACAGTGACTCAGCCTAGTCATGCACACTGAAGCTCTCTCCTAATATTTCTTTATTATTATCTTTCAGAGATAATGAGTCACTTTATTCCTAAAATGGACGTCAACATGATCTGCTCACTTCCAAACGCCACGTTCCTTACACAGCAATACAGCAGGAGCAGCATGGGAGATCTGACTACATATCAAGAGGGTTCCACTGGCTTCACTGGTGCCAAATGTCCTTAAAAGGCATCGAAACTGCTGGGCAGATTTGATTTATTCAAGGCAAATTTGCCCAGAGATTTGGCTGTGGCTATAACTTCCTGGTTGACTGACTAGAAAACAACCAGGAGGAGATCCTGGAGCTCAGTCCGAGGCTTGGTCATCAGACCACAAAAGGCAACTCATAGCCAGGGGAGGCACGCTCAGCTGAGCCCACAGGGATGTCCTCGATGCTCACCCCGTTTGAACGCCTTTCTCCTGCCGTGGAAACATAAACCTCCTGGGAGCTGCTGAATGACCTAGGAGTGTCTCACTTTGTTCCAATACTGAACATAAACTACCCAGAGAGTTGGAAAAGTCACAAAAACGTGGGATTCCGCGGCCTTAGTGTTCTCAACCTGGTCACTTAAACTTTTGTCTGCCTCAGCTTCCTCAATTATAAAACAGGGAGAGCACCTATATCCCAGGGTTGTTGCAAGGAACAAAGGAGATGACACACATGAAGTGATTAGCCTTAGGATAATAATAATATTATAATTAACATTATATTATAATTAATAGTATATTGTATTAATACTTATGTTAATAATTAATACTCTGACATATTACATTGGTATCATTTATCATTACTATTATATTTATTATATAATTGTATGTTAAGTCTATTATATCTATTGTAGTAAATATATTAATTAAATCCATATTATCATGTTATCATAGCATTTGTAGCTCTTTAAGGCTTACACAACACTTTACACGTTCTCTGCCTCCTGAGAAGCAGGTGCTGTGTATGACTGTCTCCATTTTACAAATGAGGGAAGGGGAGGTTAAGTCATTTGCCCGAGTTCACATACACGTCCGAGGCAAGATGGGAAGCCAGGCTTTCCTGACTCCAGGTCCCACACTCTAACCGCCACACCACCCGGCCAGCCGGAGCTAGGATGCGCTCCCACATGTTCTGGCTGTCCTACGTTGCTGCAGAAGGTACCATCACAATACACTAGCAATTAGAACAAGCGACTTTGGCCGAGCCTGCGACAGTGGCTGTGGCTACGCACGGCCCCCCTTCCCCTGGGCCCTACCCTGTACTAACTAACAAAGACCATCTTACTTGCTGCTCTCTGTGACATGGAAGCAGGCCCCGTGGCTCAGAGATCGTGGAGAGAAGAGGAAAGCCAGATAACGGGGCCTGTGGACTGAGAAATAGGACCTCCACGGCCCTCAGGCACACTCCCCCACTGAGCAACACACCCCTTTGCCTCCTGGGTGTTGGAGGTCTGCCTGGGAAACGGTAATGACTGGCGCTATCTTCCTGAAGGACCCATCCCTCTCCCATGCCCAGGCAGCACTGGGCTCTGGCCATCAAGCCTCCAGAACCTCGTGAAAACCTTGAGACACACCCTTCTGTACTTAAGCTGACGCGTCAATGAAGCTTTCAACTGCTCCCAAGGAAGGGTCCTCCATGGGACAGAGATGGCCCTGGGCCTGCCCAAGTGAGGCAGCCTCGGAGCGCCGGGCTGGTTGTGAATGGTGCCGACGTCAGACAGGGGACAAGCCACGTGAGCTTGGAGACAAACGCTCATCGCCAGCAACAGCGGGCAGCGGGCTCTCCCCACCTGGTACCCCAGGCCCGAGCACAGGGGCCCCAGAAAGAAGGGGCTCAAGAACTGCTCCCTGACTGGGGGTGGGGGGTGGTTCTGTCATTTCAGTTGTGTCTGACTCCCTGTGACCCCATTTGGGGTTTTCTCGGCAAAGATACTGGAGGGGTTTGCCACCTCCTTCGCCAGCTCATTGTATGTGAGTGCGCTTGTGTGTGCGTGAGGGTGTCAGGGTGGCCTCAGCGGGCTCTTTCTGAGACAACAGAAAAGCACTCAGAGAGACAGAGCCTAGAGCAGGGACGTATTTGTTCAGCTCCCAATCTGGTCAGAGCGCTGGCCATCATTCTCTACTCAGAGTGCCGTCTGTTTAGAGATGGGGCATCGGACGCCATCTGGTTCAATGCCCTCCTTTTCACCAGACAGAAACAGAGGCTAGAGATGATGTGACTAGTCTGAAGTCACAGCGTCAGCTCGAACCCAGACCCAGAGGCTCCTCCAACCAGGTTGTGATTTGCATTCTCTGATGGGCACAGCGAGGTGGGGCAGGGAGGGATGTTGCCTGGGCCCACCCCATGCCTCTGCAGCCCCCCTAGGAGGGGAGGCAGAACAGAAACGAGATGGGTCCAAGTCCATGCTGGCCCCAGAAAGCAGGCCAAAAACAGCAAGGCAAACCAAAACAGATGATCAGTAAAAATGGCCACTCCCAGCCTCCCCCGGACTCCTCTGGGAAATCCCACTCACTGAAGCAATCTCACCAAGGGCGCTTTTCTCTCTGTCTGTCTCCCTCTCAGGCTGATAAAGGCACCGGGGAGCAAAGATGCCAGAGGCTGAGCAGCCCGGCTGAGGATGCTCTGAACATCTCCGGGCATTCTCCCAGCATGCCGTGCCAAGGCACACAAGAGCTAACATCTCAGCCACCGTCGGCCATCTCCGCATCCCCGTGGTGCCTTCAACCAGGAACTGGGAGGTCAGGCTAGGATGAGGACAGAAGAGGGCAGAAGGAAAGGATGAGAAGGGGTGGGGGAGGAGCTTAGAACCATCACAAGCGAAATCTGGTCTAGCCATGGGAGAGGACAGAATGTTCCGGAAGACTTGGGACCAAGAGCAGGACAGCAAGGGCTGGTGCTCTGTTAACTGGAGGGGCGCTATGAGGTTGTAGAGGGGGAAGACACCCTCCCTCCTGCCAATCTGTCCACAACGACCTCAAAATCCTATTTCTAACATACAAACACATCTGTTTTTGGAGTGTGTCAAATTAGGCAAGGGTGACCACCTGCTAACAGCAGGTTCCAGAGCTAAAAGCTCAGATTTGAAGGCAGTCATGCTAAAAGCAAGGAGGCCAAAGGCATCCCCTTCCCCCTACCCCATCACTCCCCCCAGCAGGGGACCTAAAACAGATCTATGGACACTCTTTACGGTCACAGGGAATCATCCGGACTAGATAATCTGCCATCTCCTGGCCAAGTCCCTCCCCTTCTCTGTGCCTCAGTTTCCCCTTCTGTAAAAAGAAGGTGTTGGACTGAATTACCTCTTTGTGATGGGCTTGCAGCCCTAAAGCCTATGATTCTATGAGTCTTAGATGAGCCCACACTTTGTGGCCAAGGAAGTAAAACTCAACATTTCTATTCCTAGCTCAGGCAGCAAATGGCTACCCCATTCTAAGACTCAGATTCCTGACTACTGAAGCAAGGAGAGTCATCTCTGGGAGACTAAAAGCCCAGGGGAACCCAGCCTGAAGAGGCCCAGGACACCTGGCAGCTCTGGGCTGATTCCAATTTCTCAGAGCGACAGCCCGAAGGCCACCAGCATCCTGGGTGGATCCGCCGCTGCAAATTTATGGGGGCCATGGACAAGAGTCAAGTGCAGTGGGTAGGCTGGTCAACGTTTTAACACCCAGCTCTCTGAGGGAAAAAACGTGCCGAAGACATACTTGGAAGGTTCATCTACCTTATTAACATTTCCCTCATCCCGTAAGTCTAAATAATCAACAAAACAACAAATAAAGCCCCTACTATCTGCTGTTCAGTTGTTTCCGTCATGTTTTCCCTTCATGGCCCCATTTGAGGTTTTCTTGGCAAAGACACTGGAGTGGTCTGCCATTTCCTTCTCCAGCTCATTTGACAGATGAGGAAACTGAGGCAAACAGGGTGACGTGACTCGCCCAGGGTCACACAGCTAGTCAGCGTCTGAGGCCAGATTTGGGCTCAGGAAGAGGAGTCTTTCGGATTCCAAGCCCAGTACTGCACCACCTAACTCCCCCTAATACGTAGCGTTTGCGCTTCTGAAGAGTAAACGCTCACACTGAAAATCTAAACAATCAGATCACTGAGCAGGCTCCACGTGCCCCTGATCACATAGGACAGGCAGGCAAGGATGGACTGCTGCCTAACGCCATTGGACAGAACACTGAGCATTGGAGTGTGTGAAACTTAAGTCACATCTGTTCACGGCAGAGAAGAGGAAACATGTCAGATGAGGGAGAAAGAAGCCAGTCCCAATGAACTACTAGCACCCCAGGGGCCAGGAGCCCTGCCCCCTCTTCAGGGACAGCGCTGGGACCCTCCTCCTACAAAACACTCTCCTTCTCAGCGGGAGACTCAGACCAAGGAAAGGGCCTCAGCAAGGCTCTAGGCCAACTCCCTCTGTGAAAAATGGGGAAACTGAGGTCTAGAGGGGGGAAGGGACACATGGACCTACGGTCACACAAGTAGCTGAATCAGGGCCAACTGTCTTGCTGGCACTGAGGGAAAGGAAAGACTGAAAGATGATTCCGGAATTGTGAACCTAATGATTGGCAGAGTGGCAGTGCCTTCAACAGAAATCAGAAAAATTGAAGGCAAATGAGGTTTATAGGCAATATCATAAATTCTGTGTAAGACCTGGCCCACTTCTGATATGTGTGTCCTTGGGCAAGTCATTTCCCCTCCCCTGTGCCTCAGTTTCCTCACTTGTAAAATGAAGGTGAATTGCTAATTAATTGATGGAATAAAGAAATGGGCCCACAAGGAAGTCCCTCCGGGTCAGGGCACCTGGTTCTTCAGATACTCACCAGGAAAAACCACAACAGTGGCAAGCAGGGAGTGAGGCTTCAACCACACTTTAATAAGGCACAAAGAGTAGGGACAAGGGCAGGGGAAGAGCTGGAGGGCTTAACGATAGGGACAGAGTGGTAGAGGGAGGCAGGCAGGGAAGAGAAGGGGCAGAGAGTCACATAACCATGAACTAGCGTGGGGAACACTCAGGGACGATGGACTGTAGCGGATGGAGAAGAGCTGGGGGGAGGTGGGGGTGGCAGAGTCTAGGCTTTCATTTTCTAGGGTTTTGGTAGAGGGCAGACTAATTCTTACGCATAGCCCCTTAGGTCAGCCCATTAACATATCCACCTCATTTCCTCATCAGCACCATTCAGTGTTCTATGGTCCTAGCGTGGATGTCTGGAGCTTACCTGCCCTTACGGTCCTTGGGCAGTGAACAGGTCTGAGGGCCCTTACAGTAAGGCTAGCTGACTTCCCTGATTTAGCATGCACTCTCAGGATGCGGCTGTTAATTTAAGGAACAGTTTGTGAGTACCCATTACGGTCCCTTAATCTATGGGACCGTGTGTAAGTGATTTCTAGGTTCCCTTCTGCAATCTTAGCTCCCAATATTGTTACTTTACATTGGCTACTTATAAACTGACTACATTAACGGGGTAACGAGGTGGGGGAGAAGGGTCAGGAGGACCAGAACAAGATACAAGTTTAATACAGAGGGGTGTGACTAGGTGTCACACCCGAATCAAGTCCTTCAGCCTACGGTTCTTCGCTGAGCTTGAGATTCCAGGGAAAAAGCAAAAGGGCTCAGGAGAGAACCTTGGGGAGATCCCCAACTTCCTTCTGCAAAAATTCCATGAACACCCATTCACAAGACCCACTGAAGATAAAGATGAGCTATTCACTCAGTCCACGTATGTCAAGTCAAGCCACCGAACATTTATTAGGTACTTTCTGCGTGCAGAGCACTTCAATGCAAGGGGCAGGGAAACAAGTCTAAATGGGACATAATCCTTCCCTTCATGGAGTACACAGTCTAGCAGAGGAGAAAGACACAAAGAGAATTATGGAACAGAAAATCACACGCGTGTGCATTAGGAAAACAAAATAGGATGCTCAGGGAGCTCTGGGGCAGTTGACTGTTACCTGTGGGAGATCAGAACGTGTTTCATGGAGGACGCAGCATTTGAACTGGATGTTAAAAGACAGGCAGGAACGTGACAGGCAAGGCAGAAAAAGGCAAGCGTTCCAGGCAGGAGGAAAAGCATAGAGAAAGACACAGAGGCAGGAAATCACAGAACATGTCCAAGGGCCCAAGAATCAGCCTGTGTGACTGAATTGTAGAGGGGTCTAATGAGAGAACACTGTGAAGCCTGGGCAGGGCCACAGGCTCACAGATCTAGGCGTGGGGAGAGGCCACTGCGCCCAGCCCAGCCCTTTCATTTCACTGAGGAGGAAACTCAGCCTAAAGGTAAAGTGATTTGCCCCTGGTCACACAAGTAGGACATGGCAGAACTGGGATTCGAACTCAGGTCCTGAGACTACTGTGTTCAGCAGATGGTGAAGGGCCCTGGATGCCAGGAAATGAATAGGTGGAACTTTACTTAACAGGCAGTGGGGCAGCACTGAGTATTCCCGAACAGAAGACACATGACCACCTTTAAGTATATGGAGACTACATCCAGTGGAAGGATGAGGGATGAAGTGGAGAGGGAAAGAAGGGGAAATGGATGTCCTGGGTGGAGGCCCCTGCAATGGTCCAGGAGGTAAGGCCCTGAAGGGTGACAATAACCCTAGGAAGACCAGAAGGTATGGATGTAAGTGGCATCACACCGAAAGGGCCTGAAAGCTGATTGGAGAAGAAAAGCCTATGAGATGGAAGGGTCAAGGGTCACCCCACGGTTTCACAAGTGAGAGACCGGGTGAACGGCGGTGCCACCCATGGAAACCAGGATGTCAGGAGGGAAAGCGTATGGGAAATCTTGAACTGGTAGAGCTTCACACACAGGAAACTTGAGAACACGTGGTCAGAACAAAGAGGTGAAGGTATGGTGCACCCAACAGTTGGAGGAGGGCTGGCATTAAAGGATGGCACAGGAATGAAATGGAATGACACAGAGCCGTAAGCAATAAGAGGTGGCAGGAGAGCAAGTAGTCCGCAGCCCATGGCGATCTAAACCAAGCCAACCCTGAGAGGCAATCATGTCACATCCCAGGATCTGTACTGCTGCCATCCCGACAGCTCGAAGACATGACCCTTCAGGGGGGCTCAGAGCAACAGAAGGGTCTCCACTGCCCCTCAGTGCCCTCAGGCAGCTGGGCTGAAACTAAACACATCCATCAAGTCTTTAAAAAGAAGGTGGTGAAAATGGAGCGAAACATTTCTAGCCATCTGTGTTGTTATACCAAAGAACTGGAAACAAAGCAGATGCCCAGTGACTGGGGAAGGGCTAAACAAAGTAAGGGCATGAACGCAACGGGAAACTGCTGTGCTGTAAGAAATGACGAAAAGGAAGAACGCAGCAGAAGCATGGAAAGATATACCTGAACTGAAGCAAGGAAAGAGAGGCAAGCCAGGAAAACAACGTACCCAATGACTGCTACAAAGAAAACGGAGAGAGGGACAGTCACAAGTGGGGCTGTCTGCAACAGGTAAAGGTTGCGAAATTACTGAGAACACACTTGGTTGAACCTATGAATGAAGTCGTTGACTTCTAACTACAATTTAAAAACAGTGTGTCTGCAATCAGCTCAGAGGGACCATCTTCTTACGCCGCTTCAGACCACGGATGAAGGGTAATTTCTTCCATTTTCACTTGTTCCAATTCTCCTGCAACTCAAAGTCCAGTATGTAGTCCATAACATCAAGGTGAGATGGGAGAAAGGAAATATTTTAAAAGCACAGAATAT